CTCCCTCCCAACTTTGTGTCACCTGCAGAAAAGCCTTAAGGTGAAGTATAAATGTGTAGAATTGTTAACATAAATATTCCACTCTTTCAGGTTGCTGCATGGCTTCAATTCAGAAGGCATCCATTTCTCATAGATCCTACTGGAAAAGTGAAAGGTGGTGTATTTTATCACCACAGCCTCACCTAAACCAGAGTGAGTGCAACGGGACAGGCTCTTCTCATACAAGCAATGAACAGAATACAGCACCTGGGCTTGGGCCCATGAACATGAAAATGTTAGATGCAGTTTTATTGCAGATAGTAGGCAATAAGCTGCTGCTCTCTATTTTAAAAGCAGTAAATGCTTCCACAACTGAGGTGAGGCGCTGGAGCTCTACACAACAGTTTATTTCTAATTATACCCAAAACATGGATTGATGCTGCCTTAATTGATAGCTCTGTTCTCTGATCATGGACTTCTCTTGCACAAATACTCAACAGTACAGCCCATAGGTCTGCTCTGGGCAACAAAAATGGAGCTGTAGTGATTCCATTTATTTGGGGATATTTGTTTGTTTGTTAGTGTTTAAATACACTTTAAAACATTCTTTTGGTTTGCAATGCCTGGCTGTTTGTCATTTGTTAACTACCTGCATTCCAAGTCTGTTAGTAATCTGCTTCTCTTGGACAATTCCACTAACTGTTTCTCAGAAACAACAGCATTTATCTTGTGGGCTTGGTGTTATTTACAGAAACATTATCAAGGTACCTAAAAAATACCAGTGGAATTGCCTTTACCTTCTGCTCCTCCACTGTAGGAACCAGATAAAAACTACTACTGTGGTTTAGAGGTTACAGTGGTAGTGGTGGTGGATGGTTGGACTTGATGATCTTGAAGGTCTCTTCCAGCCTTGATTGTGTACCAACGTTTCAGGGCTCATAAGTGGAGACAGAAGGTTTTTGTTTTATACAGGCAGCTACTTTTTTAAGATAACTGCTTCACCCTTCAGGGCAAGGAGGAGTTCTAGCACAGATCAAACCTTTCAGTGAGACTTAGAGCAAGGTAGGTCTGTGTCCTCACAGAAAGGTACCAAAGTGCCTTAATACAGTTTGGGTTACATGTATTTGTTGTTAAGGGCAAGGCAGAGCTTCCCCAAGGAAATTTGCATTAACTCTGCATATCAGGTGTCAAAAGAAAAATCCAGTTTGGCCTATCTTAGTAAAGCAGCAACTATTGATGCTGTAGCATCATGCAGGATGAAGGAACGACCCTGTGTATTCACTACCGTGTCATTTTTTTCATGTTTAGTGTAGTATCTCTTTCCATAAGGCAACAGTTAGTGGAGAAGAGGCAAATTAGGAAACCTCCACTAAGATAAACTTCCATTTACACACATCATCAAATTATTAATAGTTGGAAAAGACTTGAGTCCCACTAGCATCATCGACAGTCAGTTCTTTAAAAGTCATTGATTCAGAAACGTACAGACACCTGAATTTGCAGACCCTCGAATTTTCAGGCATCCTGAGATGTTGATTTCAAAAAGTGAGTTGCTTGTTTATTTCACAGTTTAAAAGTTCAGTAATTCTAATACTGCTTCACTACATGCAGAATCAAATTATCAGGTAAGTAACCACAAGGAGTATGCTCAGAGTAATGTAGAAGCACAGAATATTCAGAGTTGGAAGGGACCCACAAGGATTATCGAGTTCAGCTGTTGGTCCTGCACAGAACTGTCCCAACAATGACACCAGGTGCCTGAGAGCACTGACCAAATGCTTCCTGAGCTCTCTCAGGCTTGGGGCTGTGACCACTACCCGGGGCAGCTGTTCCAGTGCCCAAACACCCTCTGGGGGAAGAACCTTTTTCTAACATCCAAACTAAACCTCCCCTGACACAACTTCAGGCCATTCCTTAGGTCCTGTCACTAGTTGCTAGAGACGAACAAGTACTGGAGATTTGTGTAACAGTTCCTAAATGCTTTTCTTTTATAGGACAGGAATTGAGGGTCAGCTTCTCTGAGTCCTGTTCAAGTAATTCCAGTCCACCAGGGCAGTGGGCTGCAGGAATTGCTTCAGTGTCAGTGTAGATCTGACTTTCACAGCAGGCTCTGGCACAACGGCTGGCTACAGACAAAAGTTTCAACTTGTGTCTGCTACCTGACAGGACACACATCATTTACACAGCTTAGGAAAAAGGTGCTGAGAGCTGACTCTGTCCTTCCTGTTCCCTTTGGTACCTGCTGTAAGCCACAGCCTGGTTTTGGCTCTAGGCTTGCATGGATAAATAGTATGGAAGCCACTGTTCTCATGAAGGATGTCTCAGTCTTTAGAGGCTTTTATAGAAAGAATTCTCTAGAGCAGCTTCAAAGAAACCCTCTGGCATTTTATGACAAACTGTACTATCACCTCCTGCCAGAAGCTGCTGCCTTCCATTTCTTTTAACTGTGATGCACTATGTTCTTAAACAGACGTTCAGAAGGATGTGTGATGTTTCATTTAAGACCTCCTGCAAAACTAAAGTCAGGGCAGTGCTTGGGGGAACTTCTTCCCCTACGACAAATTTGTAGAGCTGAGTCGACTCCAGAAGTAAATTCTCATTCTGAAATCAGAAGCCTCTTCAAAAACGTAACTCCCATTTGATTAGCAATTGAAACCCTTCCCAAAGCACAATGAAAACATTCATGTAATTCATTTAATAGCTTAATTTATTAAACACATTATGTAAAATCTACATTGCCTCAGTTTTCATGTTTACACACAGGAGGAATTTTTAATTTTTAACCATGACGCAACAAGAGCTTCCCATAGCCTACCTTTGCATGGGAGATACAAACATTAAACACTACAAGAATTTCTGGCTCATTTAACTCTCTTTTCATTGCCTTCCCTTTATTTCCCCCCAGGCCTGGCACAAACAAACAGGCTTGTATTCCAAAAGTAGCTCTTACACAGTTCCAAGGGAAAGTAGGCTGATACAAACTCTTGGAAACAGGGAGAACTCCTAGAGAGGTCTACAATTCTTCATTTGACAAGAAGTTCTTACATGAAAGGTCAATCTTTTTTGGATACTGACTTGCAAAAATAACTCAGGTGCCACGACCTAAAAAGTGCTGATACACATAGCGCCATTTCTGAGAGTTCAGGTACTCGTGAGGGTTTCTGTGAGCGCTAGGTTAAGAGGTATTGTGCAAAATCCTCAAGTGATGCCATTTCATCACACTTTTAGGCTGCTGGCACCGTGCAAAGGGAAAAATAGGTATTAGCTACTTCTTCTTAAAGCAACAGAACTACTCAAACTACCTGCAAGCTACGGTTAATGTACATGTAAGTTTGTCATGCATCAAAAGCCAGTTTAAAAACAGTGTGTGAAAGGCCAGTATGGACATATATATCCCCAAACTTTAACAGTTAAGCTATCCATACACAGCATCATCACACCATACCACATATCGCATATCTGCATTACCCTAAGATACAACTCTCCTCAGTACTTAAACATTACCCTTTATTATACATCAACTAATGCATATTTTTCTGAGTTTTTTTTTCCTTGGTTTCTTATTTTATTTTGTTGCCTTTGTTGTTTTTGCTTATTTTTTTGCCTTTTTTTTGTTTTAATGACAGACAAAATGTTAGAATTGTATAACTATCCTTATGGTATTCAAATAAATCAAGATTCCAGATGATCGTACAAGGAAAATGGAATGTCCAGCTGTTTGTCCACTCCTAACAGCTCGCTGTTCCTGTTCAAAGTGATATGGCACATCCTGTGAAATGAAACTAGCCACTAAAAAATAAGTCTGAAAACACATCAAAAATGTACACACACTAAAGTAATTTCTCTTGACAAATAAGGAATGTTGTGGGTTTTTTAAGGCTGTGCTTCAGAAAGAGGATGTTCAGGGTTAAGTAAAGCCTTCATCAAGGCACAGAACAGGAGGAGGTGAGCACAGCTGTCTGTAGAAGAGGAGTTACGTACAACCACTAGTGAGGTGTGCATGCACGCCAACACAATTTAAAACTGCACAGTTGGTCTTTGTAATAAAACTGAACATGGTCAGAAGGAAGTGCTGCGGCCTTTTTAATTACCACAGTTTGTCTTCATTATTATAAACATGGCAAGTATTGCCAAACAAATTTCACTACTTGAATAAAAGAAATACTTAAAACAAAGTGCTTCACAGATCTGAACCCTGCATGGTTGTGCTGTCTGGTCTAGAAGCATTTTGTAGACACATTATAGGAGCATTTCACACAAAACTGAAAATGTCATTCAGGTGAGTAAGAAACAGGACACTTCCACAGACATTTCTAATGTTTTTATACTTTCAAGTAGTTAAATTCCCCTGGCCACTGGGTTTTGTAACCAATGTGTGCTACAGCAGTACGGGTTCGTGGATTCCTTTAGCAGCAAAGGCCCCTTTTTCAAAGGGCACGTGGTCTCTTCGGGCTGATCTGTTTACTGGCCTGTTCCTCCTCTTGCAGAGCTGCCCGGAAAGATTTCACTTTGTCTTTAATGGAAAAAAAAAGAAAAAAAATGAGTACTGATGTGCCTGTGCTCAACAGATCTTGAAACGAAGCCCTGATGCTCTGCATCCCAGCCCCAGTGCACAACAAAGAACATTCCTGCACAAAACCAGCTGATGCTACAAACTACAAGAGGATTGAGATAAGCTAAAATTCAATACTTGCCATACAAACAAGTTGCTTAGCAACTTAGTCACTTCTCAGATGCTACCCCTGTCTCTAGGCAGGATAGGATTGTAAACCACATTTGCATTCCCAGCATGTAAGCTGTTCACACATCCTCCTTCTATCTCAGTCTCTAGGGAGATACACACCACATACATATTTTTCCTTCCCAGCACCTTTCAAACCTCCCTTAGAGGCATAAAAAATCGAATTTAGTGTACAATCAGCCACTTCTGTACATTCTAAAACCCAGCAGAGTTAATCTCGTCCCCCCTGGTTTTCCATGAATGTGGAAAGCATTTGTGAATAAATTTTGGAAGTTATTCACTGTAAATATATTAATGCATCATTTGTTTGTTTCAGCATAACTCTAATAAGAATGGGAGAAACATGAGGAAAGAAGCATGGCATCCTCTCATATTTCTATTCCTGTCCCTTGCCATTCCTCAGGAATATGCCCAAGAATGGGAACACGGAAACCAAAATGACAGCATAAAGATGTCAGTCCCACAGGAACAGGAATAAGAGCTGAACAATTCAGTGCCCACTATGTGCCATGAGCAGAACTCACAAAATTACAGAATATTCAGAGTTGGAAGGAATCTACAAGGATCACTGAGTCCAGCTCCTGGTCCAGCACAGGACATCTCCAAGAATCACACCATGTGCCTGAAAGCATTGTCCAAAACCCTCCTGAGCTCTCTCAGGCTTGGGGAGGTGACCACTGCCCGGGGCAGCTGTTCCAGTGCCAAACACCCTCTGGGGGAAGAACCTTTTTCTAATACCAACCCCAAGCCTGCCCTGACACAACTTCAGGCCATTCCCCTGGGGTCCTGTCACTGGTCACCAGAAAGAAGAGATCAGTGTCTTCTGCTCACTGTTGCCCCTCCCTTTCCCACTGAGTGAAGAGGTCTCTCCTCAGTCTCCTTTTCTCCAGGCTGAGCAGACCAAGTGACCTCAGCTGCTCTTCATATGACTTCCCCTCAAGGCCCTTCACTATCTTCAGTGCCCTCCTTTGGACACACTCTAATAGCTTTATAGCTTTCTTGTATCATGGTGCCAAAACTGCACACAGTATTCAAGGTGAGGCTGCACCAGCACAGTGCAGAGCAGAGCAGGACAATCTCCTCCCTCGACCACTTGGCAGTGCCTTGCCTGATGCACCCCAGGCCACAGCTGGCTCTGCTGGCTGTCATGGCACTCTGCTGATCCATATTCAGCTTGCATCAATGAAGACACCCGAGTCCCTTTCCACAGCACTACTTTCCAGCAGTTCATTCCCCAGTCTGTACATACAGCCAGATACAAGAATTTTTGACTTCACAGGTGTCTCCTACTGTAAAACTACACATGTATCAAGCTGCCTGTAGTGATGCAAGGATATCTTAAGACAGCCTTTTACCCCCAGCACCTTGTTTCAAACACAGTATCTAGTAAGTTTGTGAAGAACAGAAAGTCACCTAAACTCTGTCTGTTCACTCCTGGTGTCTCTTCTGTCTTCCGTCCAGGGAGCCACCATCCATGGAAAGAACAGCAACCTCCAATTCCTAGCTAAAGTACAACTGGCATGCTTACAAGGCAAGCAGGCCACATCTGATTGCTTGATGTATTCTTCTAGCTAACAACTGATACCGAATGAAAAGCAGGATTTTAACCTTTTTTCTATCACAGATCAAAAAAAAACTTCCCTCAGCCTCAACTCCACCATTGAACTGTTACCAGTATAGTCTCCTGGAGCCCAAATAGTAAAAAAAAAAAGAAAAAAAAGAAAAATTTATCTCCACAAGGGACCAAGCTGAAGACAAGCAGAAGAGTCAATTTTGGGCACTAAGAGTTACCCACAGTTTGTTTTTCAACAAAGACAGACTGACAAAATTCAGCCAGAAAGGTTGTTGGAAGCTAATAACCAAGATACTCAGAGCTTGATGCCACTCTTAAGCACGGTCTTACAAAAGACAGCAGGCTCCCTGCTACACTACAGAATGCAAGAGAGCAGGAACTGGGACTTCCTACTACTTTTTCCTCATTACTATTTTGGGGGTTTTTCCCATACAGTTGGTTTAGATTTTCTTTTACCTTCCTTTAGCATTTTGGAAAAAAGGAAAAGTTGTAGGATTGAGTTGATATTTGCTGGAGGTAAAGCATAGACTCTTCCTTTAAGTTAAGATGAAATGAGCACAGATGTGAACTTGTTCTTAAGCAGCAGAATAAATGTTCTTTCCACAGGACACTGCAAGGCAGCATAAGCAAGGATATAAAAGACCCTAGAATATAATCACACTCCCTTTTTTCCTACTTAGTATTACTGCAAGTCTCCATGGCATATGCTAATGATGCACAGAAAAGTGATTAAAAGCAATTTACCTCTAAGTTCAGTCAGAATATCAATTTTTTGATCTAGAATTGCTTCAAGTTGGGTAGCGTAAGAATCCACATCATAGTCTACTTCTTCTGTCATCTCAAGAAGGAGCTTTTCAACTTCCAACCATCTAATAGATTCCTAGATAAAAGATTTAAAAAACCAACAAAATATATCAGCAAAGTTGCAAGACAAGTGTCAAGACAAAGAGCTGATTCAGACTTCTTAAAATGAGCACACATTCACTGCCTAGTCACTTCAATACAACAGATTTCAATCCTAGAATTAAACCCTTGTTCCTAATTCAGCAAAACTGTATGTTTCCTACATTATTTCTCAAATTCCAGTGGTCATACCAGCAGCAGGTAAGTCCCAGATACCCCAGGTCTCTTCGAATTCAGAAAATTAGGTGGTTGTAAAACTAAGAAACTCAGAGAACAGAAGTTATGTCACAGGTGCCCTTAGGCAAGTGTCAAACTCTGAAGTCAGGCTTTGATTTTAGGTATGGGCTGGCTGCCACCTACTACAGCCCTAGAGTCATTACTTCAGTCAAAGAGCCAAGATAATTCTGCCCAGTTTTGAGAGAAGCTGTATAAAAAGTGACCTATTTTAAATTCACTATTGCATGATCTAACTCTGCAGTTAGTACAGTAAAGGTTGGTTAAAACAGCTCTATTGGCATTTTTGCGCACTGAATGTTACAAAAGAAAAGGGAGGGGAATGAAAAAGAGGTCCTGCAGCAAAGAATGCAAGCAGGAGCTTCAGTCTTACAGAACCATGCAAAGCTGTGATCAGGAGAACCAATCCCACTGGAAATGCTTTGATGCAAAAAAAGGAAGCAGCTGACAGTTCTAGGCATGCCATGCCTGACATACTAAAATGAAGCCTTTCCCTCTGTGCTCAGTAGCCCAAGCAAAATTGAAAATGTAGTTCAAACCCCATGGATGTTTTTTGGCTTTCAGGACTGATGGAGCTCACATAGGGATAAGATTCATCTCATGTAATGTAAACTTGTACATCCAAAACAAAGAAAGACCCACACCTCTAGAGCATGACTTCACTGCATTGATCTATTTTAGCCAGCTTTGTTAGGAAAGGATGTTTTTCATCAGCTGTTTCCAGGGGAAGATGACTGGTACTGCTGGTGGATCTTGTATCAGTGCAGCCTGGCCCCCCCCCAGCATAAACTCACAAGCCACGCTGCGAACGAAGGGAGTGGAGCCTTGGACACATTTCCTTCCAGCGACTGCTGGGAGGAGCAGTAATCTCCAGCAGAAGGCCAGATGGACACACAGAGGCCCTAACATCTGAAACTAATGCAGCTTGCCTCTCTAGAAGCCACAAGCATTAGGCACAGCATATGGCACATGACTTTCACACTTCTCTATGTTTTACTTCAGGGCTAATGTTTCACAATAACTAAATCTCTACATCTGTTGCAAAATGTGTTATTTAGCAACCTACTGTATTATGAACACACATCAATGTTCCACTAAGCTAGGTACCCAAACTGAGATGTGAATATTCTCAACAGGTTTAATGGTTTGCTGTTCTCTGGCAACAGATGTGCCAAACAGACAGCCTGCCCAAAGGTTATGAACAGAGTCAACTCACATTTCCTTCTGAAAACCAGTAACTCATACTTACTGCCACAATTTATTTTGTGAGTGTAAAAGGCTCTGTAGCACTGACCAGCACTGCACTGCATGGGCAGTAATCCTTCCAAAAACCCTGACTAACAGTGAGTGCAGAACTCTTCGTAGCTGTACAAAGAAGCTGAAAACAGTTTGAAATGCACCCTGCCTCTCCTGGACCTCAGAGGGAGATGTCACAAGAGGATATTCAGGTACAGTACTTGGAGGCAGTACTGCACTATCCTAGAGGGAGATGACCAAACAGAAGTGGTGCTGATAGAGACATTACTATTAAAAGCCAACTCTGGCAAAGGAAAATCTTACTAAATTTCTGGGATGATACAGAAATATGCTTCTCTTTAATCAAGGGGACAAACATAAGTGGGTATGAAATCTGTCCCTGTTTGTTTGCTACACTAGGCCTAGCATAATAAATTAGAAATCTTTGACAGATCAGAATGACCAGATGACATCCTACACCTTCAACAGTCATTGCACCTTTATTTGGAAAAACCTGAATTCCTGGATTAGGACAAAACAAAGCAGAGCTCCATCTTTTACCTGGAAGACAGTCCTGTGGTCTTCTACTACTTGTTCCTCCATTTCCACCATTTGTGACACTGCTTCATGGAAAGTAAACAGCTGTGGAGAAACTTCCTCTTCCTAAAAACAACAGTTAACTTTGTCAGTCCCGAAAGAACTGTGGAGACAGAAATATCTTGACTGTGATCCATTTAATCACAGAACATGGAAAGAAATATGCAGAAGGCAAAACCTGTCAAAAATAGAATTTGATACTTCTAACAAGAAAATCTCTAGGAATGAGCAGAAAAGTGCAATAAATTCAGAATGTTTACAGAGCTAAAATCAATTCATATTCATGAAAAATTTCCAGTCACTAATCCCAGCAAATTCTGGAAAACAGAATATTCCACATAAAAATACAAGTTAAAATAATGGGAAGAGGAAGTGACAAGGGAAAAATTTCTAGTAAGTTTTAATGCCTACAGAAAACTCTGGATTTCTGTCAGTGCTGTTTGTTGTCCTTTTTGCAACAGACAGGCAACAAAAAGAACAGAAATTACATCCAATATATTTCAGGAAATCAAAATTAATCTTTTGGGAAAAAAGTGAAATAAATGTGAAGTGAGAAATCTAAAATGTACATAGTGACTAATACAATAGAAGAATGCACGCATGGACTTACAAACTAGGGCAAACAGAGCTTCTTTAGAAATGCATAGTTAACAATAAGAGGCAAGTGCTAGGTAGGCTGTAATTAACATTGCAGCAAGACAGGTGTCATGGTTTAACCCCAATCAGCAGCCAAACCCCACGCAGCCCTCGCTCACTCCCCCACCAGTGGGATGAGGGAGAGAATTGGAAAGGTAAAAGCCGGAAAAACTTGTGGGTTGAGATAAAGACAGTTTAATAGGGAAAGCAAAAGCTGTGCATGTAAGCAAAGTGAAACATGGAATTAATTTGGCATTTCCCATGGGCAGGAGGTGTTCAGCCATCTCCAGGAGAACAAGGACTCATCACCAGTAACAGCTCCTTGCGAAAACAAATGCCACCACTCCATGGTTCAGCACAAATCCTAAACACAGCCCTTGAAACATGGAATTAATTTGGCATTTCCCATGGGCAGGAGGTGTTCAGCCATCTCCAGGAGAACAAGGACTCATCACCAGTAACAGCTCCTTGCGAAAACAAATGCCACCACTCCATGGTTCAGCACAAATCCTAAACACAGCCCTGTACTCGCCACTGTGAAGAAAATTAACTCTACCCCAGCTCAAACCAGCACAACAGTACAGTCCCTTATACAATGCCTATGAAATATTTTTAAAAACATATTGTAAAGCTTAATTTAATTCCTATGAACAATGAACAAGTGTGACATGAAAAGATAACTGGCTGGAAGGACTGTCCAGGGGGAAACTTTAGGAAACACTAGCATGTTCTTATAAAACAGAGTCCTGGAAGAAGAGAGTTACTAAAGTGAGAAATGCTGCAGGCACCACAGAGAAGTGTCTGAGAAGACAGAGCATCTTGCAAAAAATGTTAGGACAGCAAGGACTTTTCGTTTCTGTTTTTCATCAGCATTTGTGCAAATTGAGTTTTAATCCCTGTTGCATATTTAAGGAACCAGGACTAGACCTGATAATCAAAAATGAGAGGAAAATGCCCTTTAGAAGACGCCTCTCAGCTCCCTACTCCTGCAGCCCAGGGAGACATGCTGGGAACATCATATGGCTCTCCCACCAAACAGTGCCCTGGGGTTTCACCCCATGAAAATCCAGGTGCCTGGAGAAGGAATGATGGGTAGGCGTATTTCTACAGGCAGAGAAAAGCAAGCTCACTTGAAATGGGGTTTGCATGCAGGGAAAATAATGCTCAAAACCACAAAGAGTTTATTTAACACAAAGAGTGTCCAATAAAACAGATGAGTGTCCCAGGTTGCTTCTAATTGCCTACGAAAATAAGAAGCTATACTGGAAAAAAATACACACTACAGACCATCAGAGCCTAGAGCAGACCCTGCCTAGACACTAAATACCCTAATCAGCAAGGAAGATAAAAAACCCTTGAAGAAATACTTTGGGTGTTGTTTCTTTTTGTATGGACATGAACATAGCACCATGAAGTGAAGAGGTGAAGAGGCATGCTGTATTTAATTCAAAATCTTGCTAACGAGCTTTGTTCTGGCACTGTAAGTCATCATTTCTTTCCACGTAATGCTGCAAAAACACTCACGTTTTGTTCACAGAGCAGTTTGAGATCATCTCTCTGAGGAGAGCTCCCCACACCCCACTGTGTCTCCAAGTCATCCATCTGATTGGGAGCATGGTGTATGATGGAACGGATATCTCCCGCAGCAGTGGGATCGACCGTCAGCTCTTTCACCCTGAAAGTAGAAAACCTGTAACTTTAAACTTTAGAATCTCTTGCGCAAAAGGGTCACAACCAAAAAATAAAGCTCTATGGGTTTATGCTCAATTAACTCATTTATTAAGGGTGATGGTGATGTCAGCTTTGCAAATTTAACGTACTTTCAGTGGCAAAAGGATGTTAGTCCAATTTCCAAAATGCATGGATCACTGTATTTTTAATTACTTGCACATGGATTGCAGCCAGTCTTCTAGCAAGGTGTATTTTCTGACTGAAATCTTACTACTTGTTAATGCTTGGGAGGGCAAAAATTTCAACCCCCAGCTATAATAACTCCTTAATATTTGAAATAAAAAAAGCACCCTACACCTGACTCTATTTCTCTTTCTCCATACACAATTGTGCTTTAAAAAAGTTGTTATAAGCAAATCAACCAAGAAATTCTGAAGAAAATAATAATTTGAAACCAAGAATTTCAAAGACTAAAATATCTTAATAACCTGCTAGGATCTTGCAGCATGAAAGGAGTTTAAAGATTGATAACAATTCTGCCAAAAAAAACCAAATGCCAATTTAGAAGCAAATTTATGAAAGAGAGGCAAAAAAGTCTGAAAGCACAGCAAATTTTAGAACAGCCCTCATTTCTTTAAAGGGAAAAATGTTTTTCCAAGCGGCATTTATTTACTGCATGAAAAATATTTTCCATTTATCTTCAGAGTGAGTTCTAATAGCATATGCGTATGAAAATCAGTTTATTTTTCAGATATTCAAATTACTCTAAACACAGAACTGTTAGATTTGGTCCACTAAGTTTCCAAAGGAGACATCACCATTTTTTTCTTTTAAATGTATGAGGGAAACTAGCAAGCCTGGATACAGAATGTGGAATGTTTAAGGAGGGTAAACAAAATACTGGGAAGATGATTGCAGATCATGCAGAACCATCACCTGCCAAACCAAAATAAAAACAAAGTATGTGTGACTCAAGGCAAGGGAGACTAATGAAAGGTTGGTCTGTAAAATTACATAGCCATAAAGAAAACTTAAAAATAAAGATTCCATGTATAGAATGAAGTAGACCTGGTGATTGAAGGAGAAAAGTCGTCATACTCATAGGAAGGAGAGAGATCAGAGCGACTGCCACTACCCTGTGAGAAGGGAATGTCCGAAGGACTAATTCCAAATTCCTTTACTCTGCAGCAGCAAAATACAGTGGCAAATTAAAAGAAAATGTTCTCATAAACACAGTTAAAATGACAACTCTTTGTTTATCATACTTCTGTAATAGTTTAACTATTAACTATCTTACAGTAAAACACAAATGTGCCAACATATTTAAACTTTCTGCAAACAGTTCAGATCACTAACTGAATAAAACCAGCGCTGCTAATTTGCAGGGGACTACAGCAGCAGTGTTTTCAGATTTCAGTTTGTGTAGCTAATAAAAATCTTCTCTACATTCGCTATTCCACTAAATGGCTCCACTTAAAATCAAAGCACTACAGGTACAAAACTTGTACCTGTACAGGTACAAAACTTGTAGATGGGAGGGAGCTCTATTCTCCCTCCCATATAGCGTGCAGCACCTAAAAACTAATTGTACTATGCAAATGATGTATTGCTAGAAAAAAAATAAAACACTAAACAAAACACATGAAGCAACATTACAGTGACAGGCATTTACTCCTAAACATAAAATTATAACACCAAGGGGAGGAAAGTATCAGCACAGCTATTCAGTGTACTAGAAACAGGTGTTTTAATTAGTTTTGCAGTGTCTTTTTCTAGAGTCACTTCAGCAGTGCAAGTTCTACAGGGGGTAGAAGATCCAAGGAGTCTTGAATGTGTTAACAAAGGTCCTTTGTTATGCTATTTCTAAGCAGGGGAGTAGATGCCTTCTCTCCAGAAAGGGAATCACACAGACTGGTCCATACCAGGCAGATTTACCACTAGCTCCCTTGATCTGGTCACAGGGACATTTGGTTATCATTTGGCAGTCAGCCTTCCCAGCAGGCTTTGTGCCCAGGCAGCAACTGGCTGTGCTGCCCAGCCAAGCAGGAGCAGTCGTGGTTCTGCCCTAGCTCTCATTGGTGCAAGCAGGCCACCAGATGGTGACCTCTTCTGGCAAAACCAGGTTTTCTGATGGCCTGGAGGGTCTCTGCTGCCTCTGTTGGTGGTAACAAAGCATGGGGTGTCCCTCGGTCTCACCGCAGGGACACACAGGACCCGATCACCCTACCTCCACAGGCATTAGACACAGCAGAACTGCAGCAGGTGATGGCTCCTTTCACACTCACTGGAAAGAGCTGAACACTTTCAGAGAGCAGTACAGGTCTCAGAGGTGCTGCATCAGACTCTGAAGGTGTTCATTTCTCTACAGTGATCATAAAGTCTGTTGGATTTACTGCCTCTTTACTTAGAGGTCTGAACTTGGAAGTACGAAATTTCGTATGTAGGTATAAAACAGACTGGCAACTGCACGCAATTCCACCAAGGGGATGAAGAGACAAAATCACATCACATTTTAGCTAACACCCCAGGGAATTACCATGGACACCAACTACCCCTAATGCAAAGGACAGTCCCTCCAGGGCAGGGGCAAAACTAATAGTGGCACCTCCCACATACACTGCAATCCACGTTATCCATCTCTGGATAATGGCATAGAAGAGGTTTCTATGGATTCTACTGTAATGGTTGTAAAAAGTGACAATTTAAATTAAACGTTGAGCCTGGATCAGTAATTTGGTTTTAATCTTATTAAGAAACATAACCACGACCAAATTATTCGAGTAGCTAAAATAATTATACAACACTATTTCAACTGTCAGTCATCAACAGCTGGTGTAGCTATGAGAAATAACATTTTCCATACCTGTTTGCGTATCTCAAGGTATTTAGAGTGTTTTCACATGATGCCATCCCCGGAGAAATTGTAGCAATCTGGAAAGAACAAGCCATGTGTTAAAAAAAAAAAATAAATTCACTTTGTACAGGTGAAAGGTTAGATCAACTCAAATTAACTTTATATATTTTTTTCCAATCTCCAGTCTCATTTGTGATCTTTTATAAAAAATGTCTGGTATGTACAGCTGTCTGTGTATGATGACATCTCAGGGACAGAGATGTCCAATCAAAGCTTCAATGTAATTTTTTGAACCACATATGGAATATCAAGAATTCATAGAAATTCAGTCAGTTTCCCCTGTCTCACCATCTCGGTAACATGATGTGTAAATGCAAAACTCTAACTGAAAAAAAAAAAGCCTCCTCAAAAAGGGAAATGTGAAACTCAATCTGAGAGTCTGACATAGCCTCCAAACGATTATTTGTTTATATATCTTTGTCAGCTGTTCTCTGCTCATTAGTGAGATCTGTTTTGGTCAAGTCACAAACCACACTTAATGGTATTAGAGATAATCAAGAATTTAGCTACTTTCCTAAGCAGAGAAATGTTTTTCTCAATTAGAAGTTACATGTAAACAACACTTGATAGCAAACATTTTATCAGATATATCTGGAAACTATGCGTCTTTTCTTTTCCAGCTAAATAAAATACCCTGCAGATAGCACCTTCTTTCCAGAACTCAGCAAAAATAAAAACTGTGATGAGGCATCAGAGGCATCATTATTTGTCCTAGTTTCTCTCAGTAGTCCAATTTTTCCATCTGTGCTCTTTTCAAGAGAGCAATAAAGGCTCAACCCGGGACAAACACCTCTATGGTCCTACACACTACCATTTTTTTGCGGAATTAGACTCAGGAGAGTCAAACTGATGATTAGATAATCCTGATCTCCTCTTT